TTTTTGTGAAAGAGACAATTTCATTGATGAAATTACAAAAGTGATAACAAAGACCCAAAGAGGGTTTACATAAAGCACTCCCAATTGTATAAAAGGGAGACAAATCTTTAATATGTTAAAATGTGGGATCTTTCAGAATATAAATTCTACACGAGCCCCCTAATAGTTATTAATCTTCTTAATTGTTTCATTAAAATAGTCTTACATTCTCCCACTATCATTGTTATTTTTCCTTCCACTATCATTGCTAATTCTTTTTTCTGTGTAACATACTCTCTGGTTCGGTTTAATTTAATTCCTATTTTGATCCCTAAGCTTTTATAGGTAATTCGTTTTAGTCCCTAAAATCTCCACTTTTCAATATTAATCCTTCAACTCTCAATTGTTTTGGTTTAGTCCATCATATAATCTTAGTTGGATTGGAATGAGTCATAACTCATTAAACTTCATAGAATATACCAATTAATCAATGTAAATAATTACAAAAATCATTTAATTGTACTACTTAAACTTAATTAAACTTCACCAAATCCACCAAATATGAACCACCAATAATACAAATTACAACTATTAGAAAAAAGTTCTTTAACATTAGCAAGACTATAAAGGCCACGACTATTAGAAACACATTTTTGTCACTTGCAACTGTTCATCAAGGATGTGGTACAAAATATTATCTCTCTTCGGAATGCTGTCCCCAATGATACTAGCATCCTCATGACATACACTTTAGCGGGTCACCCATTTGACAAGGAAAAAATAATTCTTTGAATGCATTTTGTTCGAGGTTTGTTTTGGTCTATTTGGATGGAAAGGGATAATTTTCCGTGACAAAGAACTCCCCTTTGATTGAGTATTCGAGTCTACTTTTTTTGGCCCTCTCTAGTGTAAATGTTCCCCTCTTTCATCACATCTCTACTTTGTTATCCAATTAGAGAGCCTTTTCGCTACTCCCTCGGAATGGGTTGTAATGCTCATTTTGTACTTAAAATTTCATAATATCAATGAAATTGTTTCTTCTATAAAAAAAGTTCAAATCGAATCAAATAAACCATAAATAATTCACCTAACCGATTGACATAGTTTGATGCTTGTGCGTCCTTTGTGGGCTTGGTCTGTAAATATTTATTTTTTGGCTCACTATGGTTAAAAATTGAACAAATAAATGGTTCTATTTGATTTTTTTTTTTTAACAGTAGTCATTAGGAACTAAAAGTATATATAAAAAATCACGTTTAAGCAAAAAATCACACAAATTGAAGTAAAACTTGAAATCAAATAATAACTAATGGAAACTACCAGATTACCATATGTAGCCGAATAAAAAAAAAGCAAAAAACACATGGCAAACAGTTTGACCTTCAGATTTTCATTTTTCTTTTTTGAGGTAAAAAAAAAGAAACAGAAAACAAAAAACCATTCTTTCATAGAGCAACAAAGGAAGTCTAAGAAGCACAAACACGGATATGAGATCCAGATATGATGATATGTTAATTTCTAAAAATCTAAGACATGGCCACATTTAGTATAATATATATTATTCCTATACAATTCAATGATTCTCATGCTAAACATGGATGGTACTTCTACATTTACGATACAATACTTTATCTCAAAATGCCAGACGCATCCAAACCAACTTATCAATTTTCTAAATGAATTAATATCTTAACCAAAAAAGAAAATTTAAAGTCAATGATGCTTATTGCATTTATGTGTATTTCTCCACCAAGTGTCCAGTACATGTTTACTAAATAATTGCTTGTCATGTGCCCAACAAATGTAGGACTTGTATTTAATTAGTTCAACTATTGCCTCACACGTGTTTATTGTGCTTAACAAGTGTCCACACGTGTCAGCAAGTGTTCGAGTATTCAACACATCTGAACATACATATTGCCCAAACTAAAGTGTTGGTGCCTTATAGACGGGCAAGCTATTCAACTTCGAATATGTTTTTGCCAACTACCTGATACTTATCCCTTACTATGAACATGCATATATAAATATAAACTGGTATATGATATGTCTATCTCTTGCTTATTTCTTATCTAACGGACTAAATAATAAATAAGAGCATGCATATCTCTTGCTTAGTTCTTTTATAATTGACTAAATCTGATTTGTTTCAATAATCTAAGGATTAAGGTAGTAAATAGTAATCTGATTGACTAATAATGATAGCCTACGAATTGAACAAATCTAAAAGGCAGCAATAACTACAATCAAATCAAAGATTTAACCTGAAGTCGATCAAGAATATTCAAGAGTAGCTATGATCTACAAAAGTGAGAAAGAGCAATAAAGATAGGATTCTGCAAGGATACCAGATATACTAAACAAACCAAGATAACTATACTGCAATATCCTGAGAGAAATTAAAATATCATTAGCCTTTCGAGAGGGGTCTCTCTCCCAAAGAACTCTTTCAAGTTCATCACACTAACTATTCTCCGATATACCTTTCTTTCCTCCCTACTACTATTTATAACAAACTCATCTCTATCTAATTACTCTAATGCCCCTAACTATAATACTAATACTATTCCCAAACTAACCCTAATAGGATCCTCACAGATTCAAGAATGAGAAGAGTAGCTACATGATATGAACAAGAGACTTAAATTAATCTCCAGCCGTGTGATGGCCAAGAATCAAAGCTATAAGTTCTAGATGCAAATTAAACCAAGATCCAAGCTTCAAAAATGCCTCCAAGAGATTGTGAAGACACCAAGCTAATCAACGGCATTCCAAAGAAGATCAAGATGGTGATAAGCTACCAAGAGGAACTACAAAGGCAACGAACTGAAGACCTCCATTGGCTTGGAGGATATGAAGGAAATGATATAGATCTTTAATGGAAGAATGAGGGCCACACAAAAATTCAAATAGGATACTTGTCAACATCAAACTTAGAGGGGTATAGAGAACTTGGGAGAAGGTTTGATCTCTCATTAGATTTCATGTTTCCCTAGGTGGTTAAGGACTTCTGTTATTATCCGTTAGGTCTTTTTTTTTTTTTTAGATTGGAGCACCTTCTTGGTTTAGCTTGACTCCTTTTGCTAGGGCTATCTTTTTGTATGACCCTTTATATTCTCTCATTTTTTTTCTCAATGAAAGGTTGGTACCTTTTCAAAAAGAAAGAAAAGATCAAACTTTCTAAATTTATGATCTACATCTTATTTTAAGGGCTTTGATATAACTTTACTGCTTTCCAATATTCCCTTTCTAAGGTTAGTTTAAATAGGGGTATTTGAGTCTTTGCCTAGACTGATGATGTGGCCTTAATTAGGGCTTCTTAGGTTCAACTTTGATCCTTAGCTTTAACCTCGCTGTCAAGCTCACGCGCTTGGTTAGTTTAGGTATATTGCTGTTGTAAACTTTTAGGCTCTAAAAGCCTTAGTTCTCATTTGATGTAATTCACATTTGAATACTTTATGAACTTGTGCAATGCACTTTTCTTTTAAAATCCAAACGGTTTTCCATTCCCCTTGCAATTGTTCTAAAATTGCATGTTTTAAATCGCTTATGGAGTGTTCAAACCTTGAGTAAAGAACTGGTTTTCCTTACCTAATGATTATCAAGTAACCTGTTTTCTTCAATATTCCCTTGGGGCAGATCTCATTTTGAGCAGGGACTTTTGGTGGTTGTAAGTTGGTCCTTATCAGTTATTATTCAAAGATGCTTCAATTTGCCAAGAGATTCTTATCATTTGGTATCATAGCCTAGGATCTTAGTATCTTGTTTGAACCTGAAACACAATCACATCCAAAACCATACAAGCTTCAGCACATGGGGAGAACTCATGGTAAATGAGCAAGTCAACAAACATTTTGCAACTGGGAGGAGCCAAGATTAAGTCTTATGTGACATTGCCCTTATAGAAGCATGACATCTCCTACTTGGAAGACCATTTCAATATGATAGGTGTTTTTTTGTTATGGTTTCCAAAATAGGTATTCTTTCACATTTAATGGAAAGAAGTATACTCTTGTACCCTGTCCCCACATGATGTACACATTGATCAATTGAAACTAGAAAGAAAAAGGCTAGAAGAGGTTGAGGCAAAAGCAATTGAAAACGAAGAGAATTTGGGTGGAAAAACAAGAAAGAGAGAATAAACTGGGTAGCGCTCAACCTAGAGTTCAAAATGAGAGAAGTCAGAAAGGTGAGTTTTTTAAAAAAATAAAATAAACAAACTTTTCATTGATATATGAAAAGGAAGAAAATGTTCAAGGATACAAGATTCCAAAGGGAGCAAAAAGAGAACAGAAAACTAAAGATACCAGGAGTAAGCCAATAAAGAACAAAGCTCCTGAGAATTTTAAGCCAAAAACAGCCGAGGGGGAAACAAAAAACTTCAAAGCCGAATTTTTAAACACCATAGGGCTCCAAATCCACTTCTTGATGTGAGAGTGATAAAGATGGATATTTCTTTTGAGAGTGAAAACAAATCTGCTCACATCAGCCACAATGAGATAAAGGATGGTGGTTGTTCCAAAAAAATAAAAAATAAAAAACTGTTGATTTCCTCCCTAATAGCTGAGAGACTCCTCAAATTCCTTAGATCTTTGTTTGTGTGATAAGAGTGAGGTTAGGTATTTTATATCCTAACCAAGCTAACCTTTGTCTTCCAAGTGCTCTTAATCAATTAGTGCAGTGGCTACTAGGAGAACAATAGAGAGGTTTGGAGATAAACTATGAAGACCAAATTCAGGTGAATTCCAAATCTGAAAATTGGGCTCAACTCTACTCATGCCGTACAATCCAAAGACTAGGTTATGAACAAACAAGTCTAAGGTATTATGCTTAGAAAGGGATGTAAACGGATGGAGACAAACATTGAAGGAGTACAGAAAGCATCTAATTGCAAACTAAAACCAAAACTCAAGCATGGCCGTTGGCAAAATATCAAAGATGTTTGTTACTTCCTAAGGATCGAACCACCAACATATTTCAAAAGAAAATATAAAGGAGGCTGAGAAGACATCAAAAGAACTCCTTTACAAGATAAGCATGATCTTAACTTCAGCTTGGATATTAATAATTGGTTTCATTTGATATAGGAGATAGAAGAACCCGCCTAAAAACTACAACAATCAGGAAGAGCTTTCTCAGCACCAGCTATCTAAACTAGTTTATGGTTCATAAATCTTTGCAAGTCATTCAAAAATCATTTTCCAGATAAAACTTCTAGAGATTAAAAAGATATATATATATTTATTTATAAGAAACCAAGCTTCCATAACACGATATAAGTCTTTCCTCTACTTAATCATGACAATGATATATTCTCACTATTTCCAAAATAGAAACTTTGTCAAATTTACTACCCGCATAGTAAGTAAGAAAACCTAGAGTTTGTAATAATCAAATATACATTCAACTGTGATGAAACTTCCATAAAAATTTAAAGCCAGCTATGGTTCCAAACAAAAATTCTATAATAACACATACACAAGAACAGAAATAAAACCAAAGATCACCTCCTGTTCCATTTATAGACACCACTCGTCACTAGATATCGTCAACCTAAAAACAAAATCCAAAATGGAAAAGAAAGTCAAAAAGACAAAACAAGACAACCCAAATGTCAGTACAAATGTAAAAATCCCAAAAATTACTATTGCTCTTCAAGACCTTAATGATTGATTGAGAGCAGAGAAATTGTTTGAATAATACATCATGAAATGAATTAGCCAAGGGAGAAATTTCTCCTACAAATTATTTTTTAGTTTTATATACCAATCAATTATTGCACAAACAAACTATGCTAATGAAAAAAGTTGAGAGAAAACCCCACCTAAAAGTTACTACCATCGGGAAGAACTTTCACTAGCACAAGCCATCCTAACTTGTTCACGGTTTATAAATCTTTGCAAGACATTTAAGATCATCTTTCAGATTATACAGCAGGCTATTGTCAAGATTTAAGTTTTTCCTCTACCTATTCATGACAATAATATACTCCTCACTATTGTCAAACTGACTACACTTTTCACATAAAGGAAGAAAAGCTACACAGTTTGGAAATACTCAAATATAGATTGAACAGTGACGAAACTTCCATAAAAATTAAGGGCAGCTATGGTTCAAGGACAGAAACTCAAATATTATTTTTGACTGAGAATTAAAATCTCTACCCTAGCCCCATCTGCATGTCGCTCCCTTCCCTCTCCTCTCCCCTTCATTTCAATTTCTAATTATGTAAACACAGTTTTGCTTTTCATCAGTGTGCCCATTTATTAATTTCCTTGAGTATTAAATATTTATTTTAAGTTGTCCCTTGAAAAAATTACCGAACAAGTGAAAAAGTAGTCCACCAAAATCATTTGTGCGTCAAGCAAATTTCCAAAACATGTTTTCCTATAAATATGTCTAACTAGGTTGGGCTAAGTTATTCCTCAATTGTTTTAGCCGTCACCAAAAAAACTGAAATGACCAATTACAAAAGAAAGTAACCATTAGCGAACTTTTTAAAAGCGCAACTTTTCTTCTAACCCATGGTCCCAAGACTCCTAACAAAATCTTAATTACCATAAAAGTCCGAAAAAAAAAAAACTGGTCAAACTTAAACATTATAAGTTAATAGGAAAAAATAATATTGGAACCAAGATTTGTGAACCACTTCTTCACCAATGAAAAAAAAGGGACCCACAAGAACTACTGGTAACAAACTCGCAAACGCCATCTTTAAACATAGCTCAGAATAAAAAGAAAATGTACCCTTGAGAAAACCTATTGCATGCAGCAGAATTCGAAATCCTGTTTGAACAAACTCATTCCACCAGGATTGACGAAACAATCCTCATCCAACAAACCCATTATAGTGGAACTGAAGAAAACCCCCAAATTAAAACTATCAACAGCACCTCAAGAGCCGTCTTCGGGGAAGAAAACCACAAACCCGTAAGAAAAATGCACAGAATCAAATCGAAATAGCTTACAATCGAGAAAAAAAGAAAAACCCCCCACAGAAACCGTCAAGACCACCAAGAAAAAGATGTACATTCTTCGAAAATCCAACATAACCAAGCGGAATCGAGGTACACAGAAATAAGGGTAAAATCTGGACGAAAATCGGGCATACCTGGCTTTGGACTAGCACGAACGAAATTGAGAGAAGAAATCAGTGACGCACCAGGATTATTCATGAGAAAAACCAAGCTAGGGCAAAAATATTGATGAGAGAAAGCTCGAGATTTTCCATTGAGACGGGGGAGAGAGGACTGAGATTGAGGTAGAAGAGAAAAATGAAGTTTTTCAAATTTTGAGGGTTAAAATAAAATAAAATATTCCTTTTCCTTACAGGTGACATCAGAAAAAGGCTTAATTTTTGTCTTTAATGACATTAAATTAAAATTAGTTCTCTTTTTTTCTTTTTTTAATAAATTACCCAACTTCTCGAAATAAATGAAAGTTTGGGTTATTGGTAAAAATTACCTCATTTTGAAAGCGTCAAAATGACCCACCATTCAAAATTAAAAGAGCTTGTTAGGATTTTTAATTTAAATTTGAAGGTTTAAATTTTACCTGTAAAAGTTAATGGATAGCAACCATTATAGTTTTTTTAGGTGGTTTAAGCAAACTGTCTTTATATAGAATTAAATATAAAATTACAAAAATCAGTTATAAACTTATAAAATTTTAGCAACTATACCCTTGAAATTATAGAATTTTTGCAATTAAAAAGACGTTTGAAAGGAAGGAGAAGACAACCTAGAGGAAGTCCGAAGGACTGTACATACAATCACAATCACAGCTTTTAACTTTTGACGACGGAATCTTTGGCGACCAAAGAGAATTTCGTCGCCTTAACTCATCTTTCGGCGACGAAATACACATTTCGTCGTCGAAAATTGAGCGCTTTGGCAACGAAAACAGGTTTCGTCGCCTTAACCCATATTTGACGATGAAATACACATTTCGTTGCCGAAAATTGATGGCTTTCGGAGACGAAATCTTCATTTCGTCTCCAAAACATGATTTTAATCTGCATTTGTTGGCGGTAAAAATGGCGCACCTTTGTGGTGACTAAATACACAATTTGTCACCTAAAGTCGCCCATTTTTGGCGACGAAAAAAGAATTTCGTCCCTGAAGCTCGTAATTGGCGACGAAAATGTGGTATCGTCGCCAACGATCTTCGGCGACGACTTCTATTTCGTCGCCGAAAAGGTCAAACGGCAAATTTTAATTTTTTTTT